GCAAGGGGTTGTGCCTGGGCGAGGCGGTTCTCCCGGCATGGCTGACCCGGGGCGGTCTCCCCAGCCCCGTGAGTGTGTAGGTACGTGTGTATACATAGATACAGGTCTACACGCCTAGGGAGAGATCAGAGAAGAGGAAGAACTAATTTTTTTTTTTTAATGTGGAAAGTTTAAAACCAGTTTATTGATAAGACCAATTTAAGGACAAATGCGTTCCCAGCTCTGTTTAATTTTACGTAGAGCATATGTAAATAATTTCATATCCCAGCGCTAGCTGGACAACCTTCACGGGCACTGAGGGTTGCCCCTCAGCCTGTTTACAGGATAAAGAATCTGCTGCGCTTCGAAACGGGGCTGCGGTGGGGGCTTGGGCACTGCAGCCCTCAGGGCAGGGGGTAAGTCAAAGCTTTGCTGACTAACGGCGAGCTTCACACAAAATCCCAATCTGAGTGTGAAAGCACTCTTCAACTAGCGGGGAATAACTCTGACATTTAAGAAGGGATATTAGTTGTAGCTGTATTCTTTTTGAGGCATCTAAAGAAGGGGGGAGAAATGTGTTTGCAGATGGGTCTGGTAACACTGTGCGTGATTCACAGCTCCTGATGTTTAAAATTTTGTTCCCCTAGTAATAGGTACCGTAGAAGAACAACCTTTTTGGTGGCATGTGTCTGTGTATAACTCTATGAGGAAGAAGGTGGGCGGAAAAGCATCCTTGTTTGGCTGAATGGGTGGAAAGTCACAGTCAGTATTTAAAAGTTTTTCCAAGATAGGTCCATCAGAAGGATGAGTGGAAAATTGTAGCTGTAAAAAACATATTTGTGCTAGGAGAAAAAACTAGACAAGATGCCGTTCGGCAAAAAGTAAATGTTTTGCCGTTTAAATTTTTTTTTTCTTCTGGAAAACTGGTACAACACACACGCTTACTGAACTCGCCTGTTGACCTAAAGTGATTTTTCACAATAAGACTTGGCTGGTACAGGTGCACTGACAAACTCTAATAGAGGCACAGATTTAGGTGGCAGTGACATATGCTCCCCTAGTGCACAACTGTGGCAGTTTAAGATGCCCTCAGACTCTTGTTTCTGCCTTTGTAGCAGAAGTGTAGGATTCAGTCACTGTTGTGCAGAATCTGGTGGTTTAGGGAGTTAATGAATCGGTGCCTGATGTTGCATCAAGGAAGCGTACGTGCGCATCCGTGTTCTGTTCTGCCTCTGGCAGAAGGGTAATGACAAACAATTGTTGGGGCACAGCTGGTGGATAAATGGACCTGTATCAGAGACTCTAGATAAAATTAGCAGACACCTGGTTGAACAGCGATAAGAATGATCATGCCAGGTCAGATTGAAGGCTCCTGTAGCCTGGCATGCCATCTCTGACAGACTTCTTAACATCTGTAATGTTTGGTTAAAGCTGTATCACAATACCATTTGGTAAAACTCAGTAAGCTCTTTTTACCCGTTTGAAAAAGTGGCCCGGTTCTTGATTATATTTCTAGTAGATTAAGGGCTTTAGCATCTTCAGACATAGATGCGATGGTAAAAATGTCAGAGGTTACTGTATTCTTTTTGCCTTGTTTTCACCATTGCCTTGTTTTCACTCCTTTCTGCAGAATTCCCCTCTTTAGCAATGGGAAAACAAACAAACAACGAATGACCCCAGAGCTCTGCTACATTTTGGTAATGTGATTCTTACTGGGCTTCTTATGCAGAGTGTTCTAACAGGACAGCCAGAGACACCCTCGTCCCTAGTTTTCTAGAAGCAAGTCTGGGTTTGACGTGCTTACCTGTTTAAAAACTTCTTTTTGATTTTGAAACTTCTTACCGGACCTAAATAATTATTTAACTCATTTGAAGTATTTTGGTTCTTGTAAATTCTTCTGGTTAGTTAATTCTTGAAATGGCATTTAATACTTTTCTGAAGGAGATAGGAGAGTAATCAGGGACTCGTAGTGGCAGCAGTTGCAGCTGGTTGTAAATTTTTTGCTCCATCTGGTAATGTTAATCTAACGAAGGTTGATAGAATCTTGGATGAGGATATTATTGTCCATGTTCCTTGAATTCTTTGTTTTTCATTTCTGCTGCTGATTTTAGAATAAACCAATATAAATACCAGTGGACTGTATCGTACAATTCCAGGAGATCATGGAAACAATATAAAGATGAATTTAATAGTCTGTGTTGTCGTTGAAGGTCTAAATGATAGAAATAAGAATCCTGATGTTTTATTTGATGGAGTACATATATCAAATTCGTAATCAATGGCTTACGGAGCCCATCTCCTTTTGATTGGTACTGCATTAGTCCCTTTTCCCCTTCTTGTGTCCTGTCTTCTTAGTGTTTCTAGGCTGCCTCTCTCAGCTCTTGATCCTTTGCTGAAAACAATGCTCTTCTTTTAAACTACAGGGAGACTGACGTGATTAGGATATTTTCAAGCTGCTTGCTAAATATGCATTTTAAACTGGTCTTTGACCCTCATCACATAGAATAATTTAATTATAATATTAAATTTTGTACATTTTTCATCATATGTTATTGCTCTGGCTGTGAAAATTCATGCAACTTTTGATTGACCCTGTAGTCAATTCTGTTTTTTGTTGTGTCCCCGCTCAAGAGAAGATAGCTTAGAATTCAAATAAAAAGCCTGTGTGCTTGTTAAAATTAAGTTATTGTTTAATATTCCAAATATTTAATATGACAGAATGAGGCAGAAGAGATGCCTGAACTTTGGTAGACCAATGCCACTCACCAGTGTACTGATGTACTCTTTCTGGGAGACATGGGAGGAAGACACTGTAGCTTCCTTTTAGCAGTATTTATTTATAACGTTTATTTGGGAAAATCTTTGGCCGCATGCCTGAACAAAATCTTGAGTGAATAAATGAAAAACTGGAGTATTTTGATTTCATCAGTAAAAGGAGTTCAGCTCTGTATCTGTTTCTGCAAATTGCTGCATAGCTGCCTTTCCAAATTTCTAGACCAAGAGTACTGTTGTGTTTGTTTAATCTGAATGCATTTTGCTTTTGTATTATAAGGCAGCCTTGACATACTACTGCTGGCCTAACAGGGTTAGTTTAGCTCAGGTAAGTTTTCTGAAGTCCACCTATCTACTATAGCTGTCCTGATTGTTGTTGTTCTTCATTCAGGATGAGGTGGTTGTTGCATTATTTACAGTTAGTTGATAAAACGGTCCTAAAAATCATCGTTTAGATTTAGCTGTAGATAGTCTCTTTGGCTGTGTTTGTTACATGGATCTGCCCTTGGTTGACGGCCAAATTTAATTTCTGCTAATATACCGCTACTATGCTGAACAAACAATATTTTTCAAAGTTACTAGCAAGTACAAACTATTTCTCTATTGCTTACCTTGAGCTAGCTTTATAGATTGTCTCTGTACTATGGGTGCCAGCAGGTGCTACGCTATGATACGTGGTTCATTTCACGTCCTGGCTCCATAGTTCAGTAGTTCAGATAATGATATTACCTTCATCCGAGGAATATTCAAAACTTGTGATCACAGATGAGCTTCGGGTATTCCTCGTAAGCTTGACCACTTCTATTGAAGTTAGACTTTCTTGTAAATAATGCTTGAATAGCTGGGCCTGTGTGGTGAAGTCCTTGACCTTGTCCATGTGTCTTTTAAGGAGATGTCTCCTGACTTTGAGCGCTGCAGTTGAGTTCTTACATAAAGCGTTTCTCCAGTATTTCTTATCCTAGTTTAGGAGTTCACCGGTATAAATCCTCCGTCCTGCTTCTCCTATTCAGTACTCTTTAAAATCACATGCGTAGGCGGAGAGTTTCCTGAAAAGTGACGTTGTAAGAGATGTATATAAAAGCGAACCCCTCCAACAAACAAACGCTCCAACCCCGGGTGCACGTGAGCCAGTTCAGACAAGTAGATCCTTTAATAGGAGTGATGTGCTGAATTCCAGACAGGCAGTATCAGGTGTAGCAGATGATGACTGTGTTGAGAGCTGGTAACACACCTACTCATTGCGTGACACACACAGTTTTGGATGAGGAGATGTGAAAATAAACATACCTGGTACGTGTTAGAACTATGAGATACGGCAGTCAGGAAATAAGGAAGAATGCCATTTAAGAGGACAAAGACAGTTTGCCCTTGTTAAGGGAAGCTATTTCTGTTATCTAGAATATTGGAGGAGCTGGTATGTCCTGCGTAAAAAAAAGCCAGTTACTCTGGGTAGTAGGAAGCACAGCACAGGCGTACTCGAAGGACTTGGGAAAATGCTAACCCGGTTGAGTTGACTTGTAAAACAACATTGCGACGCGTTCAGGAAGCACGCTGCCGCACCTGGTTTTAAGGAAGGGCTCGAGAGGTGGGCTGTGCTGCCAGACCCAGACTGGTTTCTTGCTTTGGAGTCTGCCAGCAACTTGAGTCGCATGAAGAATGCGGCTGAAACACTTCAGTGGCTCTGCAAGGGCTAGCATGAGTGCACGAAGACTGACCCGGGGCTGGCTCTTTGATGTACTGTGGTGCTGCTTGGCTGTATTTGCTGCTTGTTCGCCAACACGCTGCATCCCAGGAGCAAAGTATGATAGGCAGAAGGCTTTCCGTTATAAGACACCGAGGCCTTTCCAACAACTTAAACTAGTAAGACCAACGCTAAACTTTTCTGCAGATGTTGTAATATCCCCTCCCAATATTCTTCATGCTATGTGCAGTGCTGCACTTGAGTATAGTAGGAAAGTCTGTTAGAGCTAGTCTTTATTAAGGTAAAATCTGAGTCCCATGTTTTAAGGCCTGTCCACTTGCTACATCTGGACAATACTTGGCTACTTTGCATACTACACACAAGCTACTTCTTGTAGTAGTAGGGAGCAGAGTCCTTTGAACTTGTATGCAAGCATTTCTGCTAATGCAACTTATCCTTTTACCTCTCTGGGAACCTTGTAGTGCAGTGCCAGCAGTTTGTTAAAAATCCCCGAGGCAAGAAGGAAACGCTGGGCTCCTCTGCTTG